TGGTCATATTTATTCCACACAAGTGCTTCTTCCATGAGAGAGAATGTACATTGATTTCGAAATTCCTAGTTAGTTTAAGCTTCACCAAAGAGAGACATCAGAACCAGAGCAAAGAAAACTAAAACGGTGACCCTCAACGTTTCAGCCTCTTCAAATTCATTTCAACATTTATCTTTTGAGACGATGACTGCTTTCTCGCTCCGATGAAAAGATATTCAATTACATGTTTAAATTTACCACTGAATAGGCGAGGAGGTGGACAGATGAACCAACAACGAACTGCAAGACTTCACAATGGCCTTACAACAAAAGGACGTGCGAGAACTCACCTCTTTAAATGTGCAGATCCAAGAAGCTCTGAAAGAACCATCCAGTCCAACCTCCTCAGTTCTTAACAGAGTCAACTGAGGTCTAGAAAGACCAAGCAGCTTGCCCAAGGTCATGCAGCTAAATGCTGGCAGCCCCTGGCTTCTCATCTGGGTTTGGTCCTAGCTCTGGCCCAATCTAGCAATTTCCAATTGTGGATAAGTCATTTATTCTCTCTCTGGATTGGTTTCCTGTCTGTAAACAGAGGCAGCTGGACCAGACATCAGCTAGGAGGCATTGCGGTTTAAGAGTGGGAGCTCTACGGTCAGACTATGGACTCAAATCCTGGCTCTGCTCACTGTGTGATCCTGAACAATTTATTTACACTCACTGGGCCTCAGCTTCCTCATCTGTAAAGTGGGGGGAAACAACAGCCCCTGGTACATAGCTCACAGAGTTGTTAGGAAAATTAAATGAGATGACCTACATACAGTGCTTGGCAGAGCACCTTGTACACAGTAAGGACTCAATAAATATCAGCTATTATAATCTTCCAGAATCTTTTCCAGCTTTAAAGTTGCATTACTCTAGGATTCTAACAGTGAATAATGACTATGCTTTTTTTTTTTTTTTGATAGTAATATTTCTTCTCCATTAAGCTCATGCCTCAGGCAAAAGTCAAAGCCAGACATGGGTAGTGAGAAGAGAAAGACAATGATTACTGGAGACTCAGAGAGTGATTTAAAGAGTCAGGAGAAAAATAGGCAAATAGATTCCAAGAGGAGTCATTTAAGGAGAACTGATTAACGCTTCCAAGGCCCCGCTAATGAGAAAAAAACAACCTGCAAAATATATTGCTAAACACATTTAAAATACACTTGTCCTGTGCCCAGAATCTCCCTTACAGCAACACCTGTTTTGGTGCACAATTACAGATCATATAAATACATCACTGCGGCATTCTATCAGACACGTACTTCAGCGTGCACACAACACACACATAAAGGTACACACAGCTGACTGTAAAAACATGTTACACCTGGGCAAGGTACAACGGGACCCCAGTCAACCGACCGATGGCCAGTTTTCCCTTTTTCAAGATATTTATTCAAAGCATCTCAGAGCTGAGTTGAGGAAGCAAAGCCTTTAGGATACCAGGCACTATGGCACATCTAACTGTCCCAACACTTCATATATGCATAATAAAGTTCTCCAAGGACACACACTCAGGGTTAATGGTGCTGACCTCTGGGAGGCAAGGGGGGAAGGCAAGGGGACTTTTTTCTTCTTTTTATTTTTTTTATAACTTTAAATATACCTGAATTTTTACACATTCTACTCTGTGACCAGAGATGATACATCAAAATGCTCTAGACCAGGATTTCTCAGCCTTGGTACCAATGACACCTTGGGCCAGATAACTCTCTGTGGTAACTGGGCCTGTCCTGTGCATCACAGGATGTGGAGCAGCATCCCTGGCCTCTAGCCACCAGATATCATTGTGACAACCAAACATGCCAAATGTCCCATGGGGGGCAAAATCGCCCCTGGTTGAGAACCACTGCTCTAGCCAGTAGGTTACCTATATTAAATATTAACTATTCCATCATAAGTACAAGCAATTATTACAGCTCAGGCCACCGGGGCTCTCTTGCCTGTCCCTAGTTTAGGAGGCATTTATGAGAATCCACTTCCAGTCACTAACGCCACTGAAATCTCCCGAGTCTGAGTCCCATCTGTCCCCACATCATCCTTTCACTTTTCTCTGTGTATCTGGTGACCTGCCAGGGGTTCCTTTGCACAACTAGCTCAGATTCAAGGTCAACTTCAGAAAAGTATATGACTTATTTTCTGATAAATAAATTTTAGAATCTCCTTTTTTTCCTACCCACTATTTTAAAAATCACCAGCAAAACTATTTTAGATCCTCAGAGTTAAGTGAATACGATAATACACTGGTCTGATGACGTTTTTTAAGGAAATTACACCTTACATTGTCATGTTCTAATGCTCCCAAATTCATTCTTACATGTCCTGAAGACCATTATGCTCGATCTGTTTTGTCTGTGGTTTCCTTTCTTGTTTTATTTTGGTTTTTGTCTTTTGCTATGTAAATTTCACAGTGGCTCTTAGCCTAAAAGAGTAAACTAGACAGAACACCCAAATGCCAGGTCCGGAGCAGTAAGACAGCACAGAACAGAGTTCTTCAAACTTTCTGTCTGTGTGCCCCCATAAGAATTCCAAAAAATTAAGTACCCCTCTATTCATTTTGAAATTGACATTTAAAATGTTTTCATCTTAAGTTTAACAAGTTGCAAAAGATATAACTTCTGGCACATAAATATTGACATGTTTAAATAAAACTGTTTCATCAGTTGTTTCAATGTACCTAGTGGGATCTAAACAGCATAGAGGTTTGATTCCCATCATTATTCACTTAAAAATACACATAAACTAAGCTGTGCATTATGTGTTATGCACTTTTTTGTTCCTGGGTTATATTCTAGACACACGCACAAGGCAAGCTCTTCTTAAAAAGTCAGAAAATTCACATCATTCCTTTTTCTCCTTGACTTATATTTCAGTCCTATTTCCCTACAGATTTCTATCCTAGAGCAACTCATGTTTTATACTAGCAAGTCTATTATTGATTTCCTTATCATACCTCTCTGCAATATATTTATATCTATATACATTTCAATGTAATTTTTTTAAATCTCCTGGGAGCCTAGGGCTCGAACTGCTTAAATAACAATTTCCTGGATTGAGTTACCATTACAACTATTAGCACCAGAGAATAGATTCATAACAACAAAAATATAGTACGCTATTTTATAATAATTGAACATGAAAATGTAAAATATTCTTGGAAATGCATATTTTCATGAGTGAGGTTTTTTTCTTGTTTTTTCAATTCATTCATATATCCATGGACAAATATTAAGTAGCCATTGCTAGAATAAGACAGGGTTACACATCAATTTTATTTCTATTTTTGCTTTTTTTTTTATCTTTTCAACATAAGCAAAGAGAAAGTGTGTTCAAGAAGATGGGAAAAAAATAGATATTTTGTTACAAGGTTGTCATTTTGTTCTTTGAACTCTTTCCAAGTTACAGATCCCAAATCCCCGAGTGGTCCATCGTGGAAAATTACTTTTAAGGATCTCTCTGCTAACAATTTGATTAGATCCACATTCAAAGGATGGGACAGCATCCTAACTACTAAAGGACTCATGCCCAGTGGTGAGTGATTAGAGTCCTTCACTTTCTCCACACCAGCACCAACATTCCAAGGTCCCTCTGTTTACGCGTGGAGATTGTGCTCCCCAGAGACAAGGTAACAAGGCAAGAGAATGTCTGTCTTCTATAAAGTGGGAGAGGGCAACCGTGCCAGGGACGGCGGCAAGGAGAACCTGCTGTCAGGGCATCTCAGGCAGAGCAGTTTCGGGAAAGAGAACAAAACCGGAAGCTGAAGACCAGGAAACTGATTTTGTTAACACTCTCCATGTCCCCATGTAACACTTGGAAAGTCTCTCCGTGCTCTCAAAAGTACGCGGACTCCAGTCTGACGGCTGCTGATTTAGATGACCTCTGGGAGGTCCCACCCCCAGGGCAGTTTTTGCAGATCACAGGACTACCGAAACAGGCAAAAGGAACCAAATCCTGATCAACCAAAAGGGAAAACTACACATCATGTGCCTTCTAATGTGACTGACGCAACCAGAATACATAACACCACAACATATTCATTCCTGCCTGGAGAATGGAGTCTGGATTAATCAAAAACCTCTAGGTCGAACTCCCAGCTTATAGGAGATGCAGGGGACTGAGGGACACGTCATACAGCACCACAAGGAGGCAGTGAGCCGAATTCACAATGTGGGTCATTCTACAGACAAACGATGCAGTTTCTCTAACAAATTACTAGCATGGGGGAAAAAAATGGGACTGTCAAAGAATAAAAGAGACTTAAAAAGTATAACAAACAAATTCAATATGAAAATCTTGTTTGGATCCTGATTCTAACAAAACAATTTTAGAAGACCCCTCCGAAAAAAATGGAGGAAATCTGAATGTGGACTGGGTGTTGCATGCATTACAATAAGGAATTACTATTAATTTTGCTAGGTGTGATAATGCCACGGTGATTATGTGTTAAAAAAAAAAAAGTCATTCAGTTAGAGACGTGTATTGCATTTACAGGTGAAATTACATGATGTCTGGGATTTGCTTTTACAAAATATTCCAACCTCCCAAGAAGGTTGGCGGAAGACAGATGAGAGATTAGCTTTATTGACATAATGATTGAAGGTGGGTGCAGGTACCTGGGGTATACCATAGGATTCTCTCCACTTTTTTACATGTTGAAAATGTCTACAATAAAAGGTCTCTTAAGGGGAAGAGGAAGAGAGAAAGAGAATATTTAATTTGTGCCAACAAATCCCTGTGCTAGGTCCTTCCTAAATATTATCTTATTTTACAAGTCCTGAGGCAGCTGCCCACCAAGCCTCTTTCACTGGGCATTCCATACACTGGAAATAAACAGGGTCGGTGATAAGAGGGGGCCAGTTGCACCTGGAGATTACAGAGATGTATCTAGGCCGCATGGGGAAAGACTGGAAATACCCCCTTGGCAGAGAAATATCAGAATCAACACGTCTCCATTTACATGCCTCCTACCACGTGCTACTTACCCCTGCAGCAAAGCCAAGACTTCCATCTAAGATCCGCCTCTGAAAATGAAAACAAGATGTTTCAGTCTCTAAGGGATGTTTCCTGGGACAAGAGGAAACCATAACAACTAAGGAAACCACGTGAATAAAGACTGGCCCACGCTGGAGTCTGTGAACCTGTCTGGAAAGTTGGACCCGAGCCTTTACAAAATGGGCCAAGAACCAAAGGAAAAACATTTTTTAAAACCTTCCATCCTTCCCACAGCCAATCAAGTACTCTCTCAGTGTGGCATTTGGCTTGCACTGGCCTGTGTGTGGCCTCTTACTCGGCTCTCTCTGCAAATGATGATTATAAACCTTTAGTAGGTAGCTGACCTAAAAGATGGAAATTGACAAGTGTTGGCGAGGAGCATGTAGACCAACCAAAACCTGCCCACACTGCAGGTGGGGGTGCAAACTGGCACAGCCACTTCAGAAAACTAAGTGGCAGCATCCACTAGAAGTAAACATCTGCAGACTCCATGACCCAGCTGTGCCACTCCTGAGTCATCACCTAATGGAAATGCACGTTGGGACTCACCAAACTCATGCACAGAAATGCTCTCAGAAGCAGTGTTTGTGAGTGCCCAAAACTAGAACCTCTCCTAATGCCCACCAACAATATAATGGATATGCATACATCAATTAGGATGTATTCATACAACAGAATACCACATGGCAATGAGAACCCACACATGAGATACACACATATATAGAAAGGAATCTCACAATCAGCTAAGGGCATTCAGTAAACTGGAAAATAAATAGGGTGAAATCAACCAGACACAGAAGAGCACGTACTATATGATTACTCCATTTATATAACGCACAAAAACAGGGCAAGCCAATCTCTGCTGTTAGAGACCAGGAGAGGGATGGCCCTTGGAATGGGGGTCGGGGGTGTGGGTGATTGGAAGGGAGCCTGAAAGGACTGCTGAGGGGCTGGTCCTGTTCTAGTTCTTGATCTGGGTACTAGTTTCATAGGCATTTCTGAAAAATTATCAAGATGTACACTTATGAAATGTGCACTGTGCATTTTATATTTCACTAAAAAATTTTTTTAAAGAGGTGGCCTAAGTTAGGGATACAATCTATAGCCACATGTACATGTTACAGGCATGTTGAGGTGTTGATCACCCTGATCCTTGAGACTCCCAACAAAGTCTGGGTAGCTAGAGCCACCGGGTCAGTCATCTCCAGCCACCTCTGAGTGGCTGTGAGGTAGATGGAAGGTTTTGACCCCAGTGAGCCATAAAAATGACATTCTTCTCTACGCATGCCACCACATAAGCAAAGTTGGTCTAACTAAATAATTTAACCAAATCAGACAAATATAATAAAAGAGTCAAGTAAAATCATTCTGTCAGCATTCATCTTGATACTGAAAGAAGAAAAATTACACTTTTTTTAAGGTCAATAAATCTGTTATTCCACTTTTACACATTTATCTCAAAGAACTATCAGATATGTGCTCAAAGATTTATGTTCATCATAAGACTATTTCTAAAAACAGCAACAAAAAAGGACATAACCTAATTGTCCGACGGTTAGGGAATGACTAAATAAACTACAGTACACCCTTATGATGGGATATTATATAGCCATCTAGGTAATGAAAGGAATCAAAATAATCAAAGTCATCAAAAAATCATTTAGGGATACAGGAGGATGCTTATGATATCAAGCGAGAAAAGCTACTTATAAAAAATTCCACAATTTGATCCCTATTATGTAAAGAGAATAGATAGTACATACTTATGTATACTCAAATACAACTGAACAAATTTGAACAAATATATTCAGTTTTCCTTTCCAAGAAGTAGGATCAGGAACTTTTTTATTATTTCTTTAAGCTTTTCCATATTTTATAAGTTTCCCACAATTAAAATGTGAATTTTTAAATCAGGAAAATGAATTTTGAGTGAAGCTGAGCCAATGTCGATAACAGCAGAGAACAGATGGCTGAGCGTCTACTATCCCAAGTGATCCTCCCCCATTTCAGTCAGGGGGACAGAGTGCACACCTGTGGGCTCACTTCTATGGTGGCCTTGGTCTCCCCAGGCGTGCCCTTTCCCACTTCTCACACACACCTCCTGTGCAGAAAGAGTTAATTAACACAGCCCACCCAAGCCTGCTGTCTTTAGAAGGTCCTGATGGCAAGGTTGGCCCTTGGCTGGCTTCTGGGAACTTGGCATTGAACTGCTGCCTCCATTCCCTAACTGATGAGGGTGGGTCACTGTGCCTAGACTGTTTCACAAACAAGGTGACTGATGCGGACCCCTGCTTTCCTTCTGGGAGTCTGGAATTTTGGTAGTAGCACAGCACAGAATGCCCACATGGCCAGCCCCCAATAGAAGCCTTGGAGGCTGAGTCTTTTTAACAGGCGTTCCTGGGCAGACACATCACACACATGTTAACTGCATTTTTCGTTGCTGGGGAAAGGAGCATTCTCATGTGCCCCCTCACAGGAGGGAGGAAGCATCAAAAGCCTGTGCACAGACTTCTCCAGACTCCGCCTGTGTCTTTCCCCTACTGATCCTATTGTATGTCCCTTCTCTGTAATAAACCTTAGCCATGAGTACAACCATATGCTGAGTCCCGTGAGTCCTTCTGGTGAATCATCGAATGTGGGGGTGGTCTTGGGGATCCCCTCTATGCCTCCACACAGAGAAAGGTCTAAGCAATTCCTTCTACTGACCTGGGTGGTTACCCAAATACGAGACAAGTTAGGGGCTCTGCAGTTCCAAAGGAGAGGGGGGCACCTCTGTAACGACTTCTCCCTTGAAGAGCCCCCCTAGCACGGGCGGGGGCCACACGGGGCTGTGGAGTTCCACTCACCGCAGTGCTCATTTAACTCAGCCCTCAACAGCCAGCTCGGCCAGGTAGACCCCAGCTACTGCGACTCAGATCATTCCTTGTCAACACAAAAGAAACTGGTGAAGATGAAACATGGGCTGCTCTCCCTAGACGGGCGCAAGGATGGGAGCCCTGGAAACGTGGCATGGCCGTCGTGAAAGAGGAGGAGGGTAAGGTAACCTAGCGCCCTCTCCTCCAGCTCCTGGGTGTGTCGCATTCGAAAACTGGGTTTCGAAACTTTTCACTCCCTGTCGACAGTGACCTGGGAGACAGCAACCTGGGATTCGGGGTTGTGTGGCTTGAGTTCCAAGTCTCCGACAGGCTCCTAACCTCCAGGGAAGGAGAGGAGGGGGGAGTGCAGTGCAGTGGCCGGATCTTATCGCCAACATCAATACCTGCTTTTCTGGTCTCAAACAAGAGTGCCTGGCTTGCCAACTTCCTAGACGCCTTTTACTTTCCAGATCTGCCTCACAGCATGTTTAAATAGATCTTAAATCACTTACTCGCTTACCACGCCTACACTTTCTAGGGCGCCTGCTGAACAAAGTAGGGACTTTGCATTCATCAAGATATTGATGGATTCCTCTAGGCCTTTGGACTGAGGGAGTCAAGGGTTGGAGAAAAGAATTTTAGGCATATGAGGTAGGTGGGGGTTGTGGAGTGGCGTGGGGTATGTGGAATGCCTGTGGGGGAGGGGTGTAGAGGGTGGGGGAAAGGTATGAGGGATGAGTGGGGGGTGTGGGTGTGGAATGTGGGGGTTGTGAGATATGTGTGGGGTATGTGAGGGTGTATGGGATGTAGGGGGTGGGGGTGTGGGAGTGAGGAGGGTGCAGGGGTATGTGTGGAGGGGTGGGGATATGGGGGTAGGGAGGGTTGTGGATGTGGAGGGGTGGGGGTATGGCGGAATGTGTAGAGTGTGTAGGAAGAGTGTGAGGTATGGGGGGAAGGAGAGATGCGGGGGTGTGGGGGCATATGGGTACATGGGGTATGTGGGGGATAAGGGTGAGTGACGGTGCTGGGGGGATACGTGGAGGATGTGTAGGGGTGGGGTGCACAGGTGTGGGGGTCTGTAGGGGTATGGCGAGGCGGGTCTGCTTGTATTCATCGAGCAGGGGGTGGAGGAGGAATGAAGAGCCCTGGAGATGGAACTGATACCCTTCCCTTCCCCCAAGGTCTTTAAATCATCCCAGCTAACTCAAGGCCACCGCCAGGACAGTTACATCCAAAACTTATTGTTCTTCTTCACTCATGCATATTACCACCCACACTAGGCCTGAAAGAAAGGAGAGGAGAAGATAGAAATCAGGCAGAGGGCTAAAGGAGCCTGAGTAACTGGGCTTCTCACTTCCTACTCCCTCCAAATCAGAAGGGGAGAAGCAAGCAATGCATGACCGTGACCGTGTCTGCAGCTGCACACACCTGCTGTCCGGGCCTGGGAGAGGGGAGAAAATAAGAGGACAAACATCGTCCATAACCTGGAGGTGTGGCCAGGGGCATTAAAGAGTCTGCACCTGCTATGTGGAGTGGACGGGTTTCAGAGCTTGCTAAGAGTCCCCACGAACTTCCAGAACAGAAGCAAGACAACTCACCTGTCCACTAGAGAATATGAACACGAGAGCCGCCCCAGCTGCCGTCATCCCCCAAGTGAAGAAGGTTCCCAGCAAGGCCTGGAACACAGGGCTGTGGCCTTGGAGCATGCTGGATACAGCTGTGTGCAGAGGAGCAAGAGAGGGTCAACCGCTGGCGGTCCCTTTCGATGACACGCACATGTTCTAAGGTGTTCTAACACCCTCCACTTAGCTGGCCTGTGTCTGGGTTGGTGGTATGCACCTTCCTGCCACGCCACCCCTCATGACCTCAAGCACACAGGTCGGGCTTCTTCATCCTGGTCCCCCTAGGAATGGGAAATCATCCAACACTGAAAGGAGAGACGTGAGGACACCTAGGGAGATGCCAGAGGAGAAGACTCCACACAAGAAGTTACAACATTGGGAAATAGTTCCCAAGAGAAGGAGCTCAAAGAATGTGGATTATTTAGCCTGGAGGAAGGGAGCATGGAAGGGTCTGACCGCAGCCTTCTCACACATCCTGCCTGTTCCACCGGCCGTTGCCTGTCATGGGTTCTGTCTCCTCCGAATACAGGTGACTAGCTCGGATTCCCTCTTGAAGCTCTTCCGCCGCAGTCCTGATGGAACTTTCAATAGCTCCCCATGGAGCCTCCCGTGGCCTACCCAGGATATCCTCCATCACTGACCGTCAGTTAGCCCAGTGACTCCTCAGGCTCATGTCTCCATTACCATTACACCCTGCATGGGCACCATACTCCAGCTTAACCGCGTTGTTTACGGAACCTTCCACCACCCCCAGGTGCTCCTGCTCCAAGTCTCTCTTCATATGGTGCCCTCCCAGAACGCCTTCCTCCCCAATCTCCAGCCATTAGACCCAGAGCACCCTCTGTTACCCACCTAATGCCAACTTCCATTCCAGGCTTCCCTGATCCCTCTCCACTCCTGTCCCAGTGCACACCTTTGGCACTTTCTTTGTGTGGGCTTGCCTCCTTCATCTTTTATATCATTAGTTGCTTAAGAACAGGGATGATGCTTTTTCACATTTAGCACCCCTATAAAATAGGGCTTTCTGGCACCCAAAAAATACTTGTTGAATTGAAAAGGGCCAGCTTACCTTGATAGGACACTCAGCAAGGACAAGGAAACGGAGCCATAAGTGGCATTTCCCCCAGTCAGCCAAGCACACTGCTATTGAAGCTGAAGTCATACCACTGCCCACAAAGGAAAGAAAGGGAAGTACCATTCCCTCCTGTTTTCACTCAAGGAACCTCCTCTGGACTTTCAACATGTTTTAAATTCTAGCTCTGAAATTACAGGGAATCAGACTCTCACTGTGGAAAGTTACAAGGCAGAGAAACCCATTTGGTGAAAAGCCCTGTGTTCTGGTACACAAACATCAGGGCTCAGGGGCGTCATCTCAAAAGGCTCATTCAGCTCCCCACTGGTCTTCCAGTACCCACAGGGCTGGAGACAACCCCACTGGGCACAGCCCTGCCAGGCGCCTGCCAGCACTCTGCGAGGAGCCAGCAACCCTGGGCTCGCAGATCAAGAGCTAAGACGCTGCCTCTCGCTACTGACCCTGGAAGGAAACGCTGGCAGAGGGTGGACGGGGCCCTGATGCCAAGGAGCTCAGTAGCATAGCTAGGATTCAAACCTAGGAAGGCTGTGAGTCCAAGCGAACCCAGATGAGCCCAGCTGAGTCCAAGCGAACCCAGATGAGCCCAGGGGAGCCCAGGCTTGGGCCCAGTGCCTGGAAACCTCTGAGAAACAGATCTATGGATTCAGACTGTGTCCCCATAGTCTAAATGGAACTCACGATAGTGACTGCACCAAATAAAGGAAAAAAATCATTTTTTAAAAAACCCATCCTTTTACATATGTCATCTTGTTAAGGCACCCTAAAAAGAGTGGTACGTGTTTGTTTTTAAACCAAGACATCTGGATCATTACACCAATCTATTTCTAGCTGCATGTGGATAAAATTTCAAACAGCATTTACAAAGAAAGGCACATAGCTATCATCCTCTTAGTACTCATCATCCAAGAGGGGTCACAACAAAAAAAAAAAACACCTTTTTTTTCCAGTATTGAATGCGTCTTTCAACAGCTACAGAAAAGAGGAAGTATTTGCATTTGCCAACAGACCAAAGTCAACGTGGGTTTTAGCCACGAGCAAACAAGGGAGCTCATGGGTCTTCCCGGG